TTCTTTACAATTATTATCACTATTGAAACCAGATACCTCACAATCAAGCCGCAAAATGTACTACTAGCATATTAAGTATCTAAAACATAAACAAATCAGTTTGTACATGCCCTCATAAAGATTAAATTCAAGTAGCTACACCCATCAAGACAACAAATAATTACTCAAGTTGACTATCAAAAAACAATAGCATGAAGTTGCAGGCATCTTTTCCCCTCCCTCCTCTCTCCCTCGTCTCTCTGCTATGTCCTTCATCTTTTTGTTTTATTTTTTGTTTGTTTATTTTGTTAAATATGCCTCAGAGGTTATCTAAAGAAAATATAAAGATACATGTCATTTTACATGTTATAAAAATGGAGGGATGCATGAAATTTTAAATTTAGAAAAATCACATACAGAATCTCCTGAGTGTGTGTGTGTGTGTGTGTGTGCACGCGTGGGCGTAAGCACACACAAGTTCCTCTTATTTTTTATCCATAAATAAAACAATAAGGTAAACGTATAGTATATTTAAAACACAAACATAAAATATCTTGACGCCTTAAAAAATAAGGTAAACATATAGTATATTTAAAACACAAACATAAAATATCTTGAAGACTTAAAAAAAACACCGGTTAACGATGACCCACTTTAGGTTCTTTTCTTAAAGTTGATAAACTTTACTTTCATAATGACGAGAAAAAAACAGTTAACTAAGAAAAAGTGCTTTCAGAGAAAAAATAATGTGCTAGACGCACCCCTGACCATGAAAATCATAAAAAGTTCAACAAGTTACGACTGCAATATAATAGCTCAAGTCATACGTGAAGGTCACCTCAGCAACACAGTCCGAATTTGTAGGGCTGGACTCCATTTATCTTTAAGTATATCAAGGCATATACGTCCAAGCTGCAAGAATCATTTTACCATTTCAATACACTAATAGCACCTCCAAAGCATGAACAGAGAATGATGAGATATCTGCTTGCCTTGTCAATATTCGGATGGTAGATTTTTGTTAGAAAGCGGACCTGTAACAGAGGATACCAGAATAGAATGAACAGAAAGCTCAAACTTCACAAAAGAATAGGCGAAACAAAAATCAGGGACTTATAGAATGAACAGAAAGCTCAAACTTCACAAAAAGAAAATCGAAAGTAGTAACAGTAGTAGTCAATCCCATGTATCAGGGCCAATCATATTGTATTAGCAGAAATTAAAAGCAAATGAATGTAAAACCAAAAAACTGCATGTAGGATATGATAGATTTATGGGTTTTAATGATATGGTCCTTTTCTTGCTAAGATCTGCTTTTGCAAAGAATCAGTTTCTGGTATCACATCTGATTGACAGCAGGCCCAAAGGTGATTCATCTTTTATAAAGTCTCTCGCCCATGAGATTTCCAACATGAACACCATGTTTGATATGAGAAAGACTTGAATGACCATCTTGAAACATTTGCCATCACCTTTCTATGAGCACATGCACACATTCCTACTACTAGCAGAATCAAGGGCAACATCACCACAATAAATTAGCTTACTGGTTTAGCACAAGATGAATAATGGGTGGGGAACTCTGTTGAGTTTAAACAGCAATCCTTAAAAGAGGTTATGCTTTGGTAGAACAAGGAATATTAAATAATTGCTTGTGTCTATTTCCAACTTCAGCTTGCAAAGAATTTCTTAAACTCCTTTCACAAAGCTAATGACCAACAACACAAGGCTAAACTAGAGTTCTTTATCCCTGATTCTCCATGCTTTTCAAATCCATGTAGAGAGCTTAATTTGCATAACGATATTTACACAAAACATTGCCATTATAAAAATCAGCTTTTATCTTAACATATAAAAAATAATAATTATAAGCTTTGTTAATCCTTGGCAACATTATGCAGTCATAATATTCTGGCTTCTTATACATGAATGGGTCTAATACAGCTAATGCTATGACTGTAAACTGTGCAGGAACTTACCAAATCCAACAAAGGGTTGAGATTCTATGAAATGGAAAGTTGCTAGCAGGTGAAGTCATCAAAAGACGTCCAAGTAAATCATGTAGAAGTGCAAATAACTTACCATTTTACCATGATCACCAGATTTTGTATTCCAACTGTAGAGTTGCCCTTCAAAATCAACATATAGGCTACCTCTACAGTTATTATCAACTTCTCTAACTACTTTGCATGCCTTTGCGACAGTCAACATGATCTTCCATCCTCCTCATAAATACATAGAAATAGGGGGAATATATGTACCAAAAAGGTGACCTAAATGGCTCAAGCAAAAAATCTGGATGCCAACTTCGATTATTTAGCAAAGTCTTCAACAAAGACTTCCACATGCAAAAGTGATAGGTCCTTTCCTGACTCTAGTATTCTCCCTAGATTGACCCCCTCGAGACATTCCAATGCCATCTAAGATGTGTCTCAACTATATTGCATCAGAACTCTTACCTTCAGGACCAACTCTACCAATCATCAATGCAAGATCATGTCAGACACAAATTTATTTCAACTTGGACAGCGCTTATCAATCATGCTTGATGCTTGGTTTCATGCTAGAAATTCTGGTGCTTCAAGTTCACATTATGCACCAACATACTCAATGGTAAAGAAATTTCAAGTTCATGAAGCAATTAGGAGAAAAATACAACAACAAATATGAACTTAAAACGGTAACTAGGTTTTCTAAATTTATCAAATTAAACAACCTAATGAATGGAAATTTTACGGTTTATTTAAATTTCATTTGTAGCATCAGAGTTTTTTATTAATATTGAACAAAGAACAGATGAATGATTTTTCCTGATCTCTAGGTAATGAAATGTAATGCAAATATTTCTAACTATGCGTGAATCATGTCTAGATATAGTGATGCTTCATATTTGTGAAGTTGGAAATTTTGAAATATGCAGTGAAGTACATTTCAACTAAGCAAATGTAAAGGGTGAACCCAGTGGACACCGTTCCCACCAAGGGCCTGGGAAGGATCAACATGTGTAGCCTTACCCCATATAGTTATACAGAGGTGGTTTTTGTGACTTGAATCTTGGTCACTCAAGTTGCAGAGGAGAAACTTCACCATTGCACAAAAGTTCAACCTCGATTCAACGAAGTAAATGTTATTATCTTAATGTTATTGTGAAAGAATGAGTATGCATACAAGACAATTACATTAATCAACTACCAAAAGTGTTATTCTTGTGCACACAAACTCATTGACTAGTAATAAATTTAACAAAACAATCACATCGATGATGCTTGTACCTTGGGGGCAGCCATTGGGTACTCTTCAGGCAAGAACAATTCAAGCTTAAAAACACCTCCTAATAAAGAAATGATATAAAATAGGAGGAAAACAATTAACATAGCGCATGATAACTAAGCATAAATAACATATAATGTCTTTGAGAAGTTACTATTCCACAACTTAAATGTGAATGGATATCCAAAAAATTCTACTATTCACTACTTGAAACAACTTAAATCTCATGAAGACATGTTGTAAGCAATTGCCACTAAACTTCATCAAAAACATGCAGTAATCCACTAGAAAGTACAAATTTCTAATAAAATATAGCATAGAAAAAATTTCCAAACAAAAAATTCAAAGAATAAAAAAATACTGAATTGTAGTGTCAAACAAAAAGTAAATGTTAGCCAGTTTTAGAAAGATGGAAAGTCTGATTGACCTTAAAATAAGCATTAACCATCCTCGGTTTACCAACTACTGCATCAACGCTCACTAAGGATAACCTATCAAAAAGTCTGGTTGATCACATATGTAGATGGACTTATACTGATTAAGTCAGTTAAACATTTATGACACACTCACCCTAAACAGAAAACTAGAATTAATTTGATATAATAATGGTTTCCTTGGAATTTTCTCATCTAACAATTTTCTATCTCCATGCCAATGCAGACTGCTGTCCTCTAGCTATACCATCAACCCATCAACCAGCATACGCCCGTTTGGAAAGTAGTAAATCGATAAACAGAAGGTAAGTTAAACTAGAGGGTGGCATCAATGGTAGGTCTGACACCACAATGCAAAAAAATAATCTCAACTAAGCAGATATATTCTTGTCTAGATCTAATCCCATCCTAAAATACACTATTCACAGTAACACTTTCTAAAATTCATATACTTCTACTTTTTTCCTTGAACAAACACATGTGGCAGGACCCACAGCACCGCTCGTTCCAATTTAAGGAGGAGGAAGTGCCTCCCAAGATAGGACTACGTCAACTAAAGTCAAAAACCCGAGGTAGGCACACAAAATACCAGAAAATGTTATACAAGATTGATTTGAGTACTGAACATCCAAAAGAAATCCATCTACAGGCAAAGAACCTTCGTAAGGAGACTGTGCCGGGCCAAGGATCATCACGTTGAAGTAGCGCATGTTTTCTTCCGACGGAGATGCACTGATCCCAGGAGCTGCAACAAAGGACACCGAGATGAAGCCGACTAGGGAAAGAACAAACCCTAACACCCCAAACAATCTCCCCACAGGTTTGCAAGCAGATCAAGAACATCAATCCGACCAAGATATCATTAACACACAGAGATCGAACATTACCCGGTTCGCTGAGCAATCTCTGCGTTTCCTGTTCGAGCGAGGCGTCAAGAAAGAAAGAAAGAGACAAAGAGACAGAATCAGATCTTCGACGGAGATCTCGGAGGAAAAAATGGGAGATCGGAGCACAGATCGGGAGACGGGAAGAAGCACCTTGATGATCCTCGGGGGTAGATTGCTGCTCGCCATTCCCAATCGGAGATTAGGGTTTTGGGTCGTTTCTTGGAGTCGACAGAGGAAGAGGAAAGACGAGACGAACAACAGCGACCGCAACGAATAAACGAATGGCGGTTTATATATATACCAGAAAAAATAAAGAAAAAGAAATTAAAAAATAGCCTCATAAATAATATCGATTTACCGAAAGTGACCTCGGTTTTGCCTCCAATAATCATAAAAGGACAAGATAGGAATTTAAGATTAAAAAATAAGCTTAAAATTAAGATTTTTTTAGTGGTCTTTATCTCCTTCAAACAAAACATTAAGATTGCTTCCAAAATGTGGCCTTACAGATGCCAAGATTTGCTTGGCGACGACGAGATCACAGCATGTACTTGATTGGTGACCTCTGATCTGAAATCGACATGCTTGTGGAGCAGATCTTCTGTGGCCTCTCGCCGGTCTCAGCGAGAAGAGGCGGCACGCTCTGCTCGTTGCTGAAGAAGTTATGGGGATCCACCTCGCCCTTCACCATGGCCAGCCTTCGGAAGTTGTTCTTGAAGTACCTCTCACCCCACGCCATGGCCTTCCGGTAGCTCGCATTGCCCTCCTCGTTTCTTCCCAAGTCGAGGTCCCTGTAGTTGAGATACGCAGCTCGAGGGCGTTTGGAGACGTACGGAGTCATGAAGCGGAACATGCTCCTGATCCAGCCCAGGTGCTTGGTTGACGCTGCGACGCCTTCATCTCTCCATGTCGAGAGGTAGAGGATGATGAAGAGGTTCCCCTTCCTGTGTGGGAACGGGATGTCCGACTCGGAGATCTCACTCATCCTTCCTCCCCAAGGCTCCATGTGCATGGAACCCGTAGCCCCTCCTCGGAGAGCCTCGCCCAAATGGCTTCCCATCCACTCACCGGGATGGGCTCCGTGACGTAGTCGGACTTGCCTTTGTTGAAGTCCTTCGGCTGCAGCTCCCTGTTCACCAGAATCTCTGCAGGTTCTCCGTTCGTGTAGCCGGCGGCGTAGACTGCCGAGTCGATCCAGCTCATCTCTCTGCAGTCATTCCTCTCCACGCCCAGCGCCGGGAAGTGCTCGCCCATGTGTCGGAGCAGCCCATCGCAGTGCCCGAGAAACGAGGACTTGAACGCCGCCTCCACCACCCTCCGATCTCCTCTGTTCACGTGGACGATGTCAACCCTGAGGAGTAGATCCTCGTGGAGCTTGTGAGCAATGTTCTGCCATCGATGAACGAGCTCTATCGCTCCCTGCTCCATCGTTCGGCGAACGGTGAACACGCTCACAGTGGCAGGAACGTGGACGAGCTTCACCTTCCAAGAGATGATGATGCCAAAGCTGGCTCCTCCGCCGCCTCTTATGGCCCAGAAGAGGTTCTCGCCCATGGACTCCTTGTCCAAGATCCTGCCGTCAGCATCCACCATCTTGGCGTCCAGAATGTTGTCAGCTGCGAGGCCATACTTCCGCGACAAGGGACCGAAGCCGCCCCCGCTTAGATGGCCACCGACGGCGACCGTCGGGCAGACACCAGCCGGAAACCCAAGACGCCCGCTCTTCTCTGAAACCTTGTAGTACAATTCGCCGAGAGTAGCACCGGCCTCCACCCATGCCACGCCATGCTCGACGTCGACGGTCACCGAACGGAGCTTCTCTAGATCGAGCAACACGAAGCTACCGGCCTTCTCGGATCGGTAGGACAACCCTTCGTAGTCGTGGCCCCCGCTCCGGGCTCGGATCGGCAGCCCGTGACTCCTGCAGCAGATGACCGATGCTTGGACTTGGAACTCGTCGGCCGGTGCGACGATGAGGAGGGGCTTTGGCGTTTCAGAGGATGCGAACCGGAGGTTTTGGATGGAGGAAAAGAGGAGGGAGGAGTAGTCGGGGCTGTTAGGGAGGTAGAGGAGCTGAGACAAGTTGGTAGTTGGCGAAACGTGGGAGGAGAAGCAACGGAGGAAGCTTTCATGATCTGACAGTGAAGAGACTGAGAAGATGCAGAGACACGCAACGACCGAAAGCGAGAGATAATAGGAGACTGCTGCCATTATTTCCTCTTCCTCCTGTTCTTCCTCTTGTTATATATCGTCGCTTTGTCATCCATGACCTGTAAGGGTCTCAGATAAGGCAAGTGTTGTCAACCACAACCCGTGACCTTTCTAATGTTGTTCATCTTGGCAGAAACCACACCGGTGGAACTCTTTCCATTATTGTGCGTCTGTGGATACCACCGGCGGTGACTTTCTTTTCATTATTGGCAGAAAGTCGCATTCTCTGATGCCTTTGTGGGACGCCGTTTCATACTTATCGTGTCCGACCCAATAAATAATCGATATGTTTGCAATGAAAGAGGAGATCCACGCAGATCACATGCCATTTTATTTTAGTGAGATTGATGAGAAAGAAGATTGAATTATTTTATAGGACTTGATGGATCTATTATTATTAATTTAGATCTAAACATTTTAATTGAGTAATACATATCCATTTTTTTTATATGTATAAATTCTGAATAGATATGTATGTGTGTTTTGTTTATATTGTGTATATAGAAAAATATACAGGAGGAATCATGTCAGAGTTGTATCCATCTCATGGCCGAATAGAGAGCAGTGAATCGACTGAATCCTTGTTAATTTCCACTGGCTTCTTCTTGTATCACCTCTCCATCAATCTCGATTCGAGGGATGTGCCTGATACTTTCCCAGTTGCTGCCACCTTCCTTTCCGCAGCGCCCCTTGAGCAGGGGATGACATGATGCGATTTCCAACACCTTCAGCGAAGAAGGCAGTCCCTTCTCCGGCAATGACTGCATCTGAGGGCAGTTTGAGACGATTAACTTCTTCAGGTAGCGAAGACCTCGTAACATGGGGAGGGACCGGAGATTGGCACAACCGTTGAAGCACAGAGTTTGGAGGAAGGTGAGATCCTCAAATGCCTTTTCCTGCTCGGTTGTCAAGGAAGTGATCTTGAGGCAATTGTGGATTTCTAGATTTTGAAGGCAGGCAAGGTTTTTGCTAACGGTTAGTCCTGTGAGCAACGAGATGTCACCGACGCTGAGAGTTTGTAGCGATGACAAGCTGTCTTCTTCCTTCAGTGATACACAGAATCCAGCAATGAGCACAGGGCAATTGTAGATGCATAGTGATGAAACTATTGATCCAACTGGTGCCGTCCTGGTGTCATCAAAGTACGGTATCCAGAATCCATGATCCAAAACGGTTAATTCCGTAAGATTGCAAGGTAAGGGAGGCAATATCTTGAGCTTGTTGCAGTCCTTGATCACCACACTCTGGAGGTGTGGAAAGAATCGTCCGTCTCCCAAAAACTCTTCGAGCTCGGGCATGCCATCGAGCACCAGCTCCTCCAGGCGTCTAAAAACCTCGCGACCAGGACCCAAGAGCTCCCAGCCAATGCTCTTCGTTGCATGCAACCCCTGTATCCAGAGTACCTTCAGCGAAGGCAGCTGAGCGAGAGGGGGGAGGGATTCCCAGCGCCTGCAACCACTTAGATAGATGATGTTGAGATCGGTGAGCCATTGGGTCTTTAACCAGCTGGGATATGTGGCACCTCTACAGCCCATGATCTCTAGCCTCTTGAGATTTGGATGTGGCCGAAGGCCTTCAAGAACTTCATCATCATCATCCACCACCTGATTCCTTTCACCGGATTGCCATTGTAACTGCAGAACACTAAGATGCTCTTTGCCGCTTAACATGGCCTCACTTGCCTTGTTCTTACTCTCCACGTTCTCTAGATTCCTCACGTAAAGGGATCCTCGAAGCTCGTTCAGGTCCCTCAACTCTCTTATCGTATACCCAGCTTCTGTTCTAACTTTGAAAACATGTAATCTCTGAAGGCAGGTCAGTCTCCCGATCTCTGCTATGTCGGAAATTAATTGATCAGCCGCAGTAAGATGCCGCAAACTTACCAGGTTCTTCATGCCCCGGGGTAAACTACGAAGCCTGCACCCGTTCAGGTTCAGCACTTGTAGATGGTAAAGCCTGCACAGAGATTCCGGCAAACACTGAATCGAAGTTGACGAAAGATTCAGGAAGCGCAAATGTATACACTGGCATATTACTTCTGGCAGATTATCCATCTTGCAGTGAGACAGATCCAATACCCGTATGTGTTTCAAATCCCTGAGGACATCTACAAGAAGGCCATCATCGAGGCCCGACCGGAGGACTCCGCTGAAGGAAATTAGAGTGCGCAGGTTATGAAGGTGGTGGTGGTACACATCTTTAACCATGACAAGCTTTTCGGCCTTGATGGATAGGTGACGCACGGATGGTGGAATGTTGGTGGGTTCATCGTCTTCGACTCTGATGCATTCATCTCCGGAAACAGACTGTGCCAGATCGTGCAGTGGGTCATGTATGCCATAGAGCGTGACGAATTCCTTATTCTGCACTTGGAAGAATGATCTGCGCATCAAGTCATTCATGTAGTCTTGTCCTGCATCCTCCATCCTCACATTCTTGTTTCGGGGTTGGATGTACCCTTGTGCCATCCAAAGGTGAATCAAGTCATCAGACTCGAACTTCCAACCTTTGGGGAATATGCTGCAATACGCGAAGCACCGCTGCAAGTGAGCAGGTAGGTTAGAGTAACTCGGTTTTAGGATTGGTATGATATGATCCCAGATGTCATTTCTCACCAAAACTGAGTTCCATTCTTCGGCATCCATCTTGTTCTTTAGTAACCCTGCGATTGCCTTTGCTGCTAGAGGCAACCCCTTGGGTTGTTGAGCGACTTCGCTTCCAATCCTCTCCAATTTGAGTTGTTCTTCGTGATTTGCATCACGAAACGCGTGTTCCTTGATCAAGGACCAGCAGTCTTGATCTCTCAGACCCTTCAAATCGATCGAGTGCATCGTACCTAATGTCTCAGACACCGTTCCCGATCGTGTTGTCACCAAGATCTTGCTGCCACTTTTTCCTGCTTTCAGAGGAGCTAAAAGCTTATCCCATCTTTCCATCTCAGACAGCCTATTATTCCTCTCGTCATTCCACACATCATCCAGGACGAGCAGAAACCTCTTCCACGCTACCTGCTCCTTGATCGCTGTTTGAAGCCGATTAAAGTTGGTGACACTTGGGTGCTGAAGATTATCACCGGATGATGCACATTCTAGGATCTCTCTCGTGAGCTCGGTATCATCGAAGCTATCAGAGACGCAGACCCACATCCTCAGCTCAAAATGTTGTACGATTTTAGGATCATTATAGACAAGTTGTGCGAGAGTAGTTTTTCCAACCCCTCCAATGCCGACTACGGGGAGAATCGAGACTGGTTCATCGTTGGATCTCAGCAGCAGCAGCAGGTCAATTAGATTTCTGACTTCGTCCTCTCGTCCGAACACCTTGGTACTGATCAGTGAGCTGGTTGCGCCTTTTCTGGTGCTTTGCTTCGGGCCGCTACTGCAGCGATCCAATTTAAAGAGTGTGATGGTCTCGCTCACACAACAACTCACGTGATCCAACCTTTCGATTACGCTTCTTATTCTAGCTTTAGTGATCCTATCCCATGCCAGTTCAGGAGTGCCCGGGGGCCTCGAATTGCTACATGTTCTGGGAGCCGAGGAAGCAGCAGCTGCCTCCTCGTTGGAGGCGCTGCCGCCGCCTTTGAAGCTAAAGAAACTTGAAGAAAGGAGGCCACCCGCTCGGGTGGCCACATCCCTAGCAGCCTCCAAGTTGGAGATGAGGAAAGCACTCACCGGACTGCTGCTTTCACCGTCCAGTTGCTGTTGAAGGCGGCGATATTCTAACTCGTCGAGAAGGTCTTCGGCATCATAAGCGACGTCTCTGAGCTCCTTCATCCACCCGACCAAGCCGTCGGATTGGGTTTTCTCTGCGCTGCTGAGTACCGATCGAATCCTGAGCATCGCAACTCGCAGCTTGTCGAGGTCGTTGCCTATGCCGGAGTTGGCCGCCCATGTTTGGAGCTTAGAGGAGAGGAACTTGTCGAAGATCACTTGGATGAACCAGCCGCCGACGGTTATGTAGGATGGCACATCCATGCGGAGGGATCGGAATAGCTTCTTCCACAGCGGACGAAGCTAAGATCCAAACCTTATCCCACCGAACAAAGCATTTCGGCCTCTGTGCATCACTGTCGAAAAGGCAAAGGTGGAAAGGTCAGCAATAATAGTTTCTTTGATAAATCCATTTAAAATCGGTTAATTTCATATTTTTCGTCTAAATATAAATTTCTTGACCTGTAACTCTTAAGGACAAGGATATCAGACAAGGATAGAGGAAATTTACGTATTATATTATATTGTAGAAATCATGTGTAAATATTCAAGTTTTATTTGACCTTTAATCCTTATTTTATGTAAAACATTTATTGTTAAATAACAAGAAAATTGCTATCGAATTTAGATTTATTGTCATGTCACCGTGCCACGTCATCGATCATGTCAACGTTGACCACTGCCACGTCACCACCGAGTTGCAACAGTCGGTGATGACCATTGACACAGCGGACTACATCACAATCTACACAAAAAAAAAATGCCTTGCCATCCTTATTGTGCCACATCAGCATTGACCGGTGTTGACTATTGCCGCATCATCATTGACCACTACCACGACGACGTTGACCACGGTGTTGACTACGGTGTTGACTATTGCCTCATCCTTCAAAGCTATCAAACCCGACCACATTCTGATTGAGCCCAAGCTTTGCACGCATCGCAGATTTGAGAGACCCAATTCTGTATAAGCCTCGCAGTGAGTTGACTATGTGGGCTCGATCCATACATTGGCCATGCAGGCTACGTTAGTAGTGGGCTAGTCCCATTGTAAGCTCATGAGCAGTCATAAAATTAGAATATAGATAATAAATTAATATATAGAAACAATAGAATAGTGCAGCAAATCATAAAAATATAACACTAGAAAATTTTATAGTGGTTTAGAATTGATGAGTTATGCATACAATATAAACATAAATAAATTAAGATTTACGATATATAATAAAATTTATCATGCAATTTATCTGTTTACTTTCCAAAATGCATCGTGGTTATATTCAACATGATGATGGTACATCTTATTTTGTATTTACGTGGATGCATGATTTTATGAGACATAATGATTGATGTACAATGTTGAGTAAGGAGATACTTGATATTGTGTTGAGAGCAATAGACTAGTATTAATAGGGTGATTTTTTTTTCAGTGATTTTAGGACCTAAAAGATTAGCAGATCATCAGTTCCATATGATTTCTCTCCATAAATTATTGGAATGTTTAGATATCTCATTTCTCAATAATAATGTGTATATGATATCGTATTTAAGATTATCTTTTGCCTATTTAAGATTATCCTACTCAATATTGTTACTGAATGTTATTATTGTAAAAAATATCAGAGATACACGACAATAGCAAGAAATAACACATGTCTTTTTTAGTATAAGTATTATTGAACTTTCGACTTAAGACATTTTTTTATTATTTTTTAATCATAATTAAATAATTAAGATTATTTAATTATATGTATGTCATATATGTCCATGTTTTTTCCCTCGTTTTGTTACCTAATCGATCGCATCAATCTCAAAGCAGACACAACAGCGAATTACCAAAATTACCCTCTTCTATAAATCCCCTCACATTCTAACGGAAGATTGCGCGGTGGCATATGTGAAATTTAAGCACTACAAATCCATGCGCTTTGCCGTTGGATCCCAGAAACACGAATCATGAAGGAAACGAGAAGATATCTCTGCCTTACAGGTCTACAAATGCTTGCAACGATATTAGTGTTAATTGCTGTCATAAACATGCTGCTGATTGTTATTCCACGAACAACAGCCACAGCTTTAAGATTAGGCTACAGAGGGTTGGATTAGTAGTCGAGAACGGAAATGCTGTGTTGACTTTGATAGATAGATTGAGATTTGCAGCATTGAGTGATGGAAAGAAAAACTGTATCGATCAATAATACAAAATTTTTGAGTGAAATAAATGTCGTCAAAGTCTGTCTGAGAAAAGAGAGAATCTGATGATGAAGCTAATGGCCGACGCCGGGGCTGGGGACGGAGCGCGCCATCTCCTTCGTGTCGTTTTCGCTGGCGCCATGACTGCTGCTCGGAGGAGGTGGTGGTGGGAGAACGCTCTGCATCGAATCAGCTTTCGAGGGAACCTTCCCCTTCCCCAAGTGGATCAGCTTCCGTGCCTGCGGAGTTGGTGCAAGAAGGAGAAGGTAGACGAGCAGAAGTGGCGTTGACGTCTTGTTGTATGAAGCCATGGAGGAGAGGTATGTGTATATGTCTGTGTGTGTGTGTGTGTTAAGTCATGGTGTGGCCTTATATCGATGAAGGTGATGAACATCTCTCTCTCTCTCTCTCTCTCTGGGGATGCTGATGGAGAATAGATGGCACAACAAAGACAAAGAAGGGAGTGAGAGAATTGAGAAGCGTGGGGAGGTAGCTAATCGGCGTAGTCAAATGGATATGTGTTATCGTGGTCGTACCTCCGTTGTCTCAACCTTTCTTCCCCCACGCTCACTCCATTTCCAGTAGTCACACTTTGGAACTCATCAAACCAACCATTCAATTCATATTAGTTTAATCCAAAGTATTGGCATTTTCATGTAGCCGATATAATATACACTAAATAGATGCCAAGAAATAGCTTGCCTTTGTCCTCATTAGATTCAAGAAATGAGTTCACGGAAGGAACAAGAAGAAGCTCTTCCTTCCAAGCAAATGCAAGTTCATGTTCCTCATGCCTCTTCCTAACCACATAAATAGTTCTGGGCACAACTGTGGCACAGATTGCGGAGTTGATTCAGCGTGGAAGACACCTCCGGAAGGAAGTGTTTCTTAATGATGGATGGAAAGGGAGAGACAAAATCCCCCCAAGTAATTAATTGTCCGACATCATTGTTCTAAAAAAAAGAAAAGGTAGTTGATCTTAAGAACGAAGGAACACATTTGATCTAATTAATCAATCACAATTACTTGCCTACGAGGAAAACTTATCCGGATTCCTTTACATATCATCATATCTGGTGTGTCCTGGAATCCACCGAAGCTTCATCATTAGGTGATGTGATTTCATTCACACATGCAGGTTTGGGAGGAAGTTGATTAGACCCCCACCCCCAGTTTGTGACATCAAATGGCCACATATGCACAAAAGATACGTAAGTGTCTGCACTGCACACCATCATCATCCAAAGTGATCACTATGCTGCCAACCTTGTACTCTTCTCTCTCTGTCTCTCTTTGTTTGTGGAAACAGCTCACCCATGTTTCATGGTGTGGAAGGAGGAATATGTGAGGTATCTTTGTGGACCATGTGATCTCGACTCGACTCGATCCATGCCAAAACTATCCACATCTAGGGTTGAATTTGCATAACTTAGAATATAAGCTTAATTCATGTACTGGATTGAAACAAATATGTACATAATATCACCATCCATCGTAGTTATGGACATTTTATTTTGAGATCTACATGTGAATCGAGATGAGTCTAGCTCAAAATTAATATTAACGTGCAAGAATCCCTGCGTGCTTGCATGCAGCCGAATGGACTTCATCGGCTGAGGTTTATGGGCTGCTTATGCCCCATTAATGGCTCTTTCTAGGTCCATCGTCGCTCCATTAGGTGGATTTCAGGCCCATTGTCGCCCCATGAGGTACCACCTCAAGGAGTCATCGTCTTCGTTCTCGGTTGTGGTCTCGTAAGAATGACAGTAATGTCGTAGGAGTGTCCGAGAATGTTGCACTAGCATACAGAGAGAGAGAGAGAGAGAGAGAGAGATCATCGCCTGCTGCAGAAACTCTTCCAACGTTTCCACTGGATGCTTCTCCTTATCTCGATCAAGCGTAGGTGGTGTGTGTTTCTTGCCTCGGGGCGACTTCACCCGCCTGGCGGCATGTAACCCCGCCGCTGCATTAGCGCCGCCCATCTTTCCGTGTTGTGGTCCCCTTCTCCTTCGTCTCTATCCTCGCGTAGTCCCATGGCGCTCCCGCTCCGGGTTGGGCCCCTCCTCCCCTCCCCTGGCGCCGATCACGTGGTGGACGAGGTGGGTGTGTCGTGCTCCATGGTCCCCACCCCCCCCTGCCCAACTCGACCTGGCGCCGCTCCTCGTCCTCCGCCGTACACCCTGCGCCGTAAACGCCGCCGCTGGGTGGTCCCACGGCAGCGCTAGCGAGCCAACCCGACCAAGAACCACCCGCATCGCCACCGACGTCCGCCCGTGCCGGACCCACTCGAGAGGCGGCTGGGCCCCAGTAATGGGTCCCGCTTCTCCGCTCCAGTCTCATCGATTTGGCCTCGCAAAATAAAAGGCGCTGTGCCGTCTCAGACAGGAAGTCGCGGATGACGTCACCAAGACGTCTTCTGCCTTCTTCGCTGCATGTACTCGGTTACGTTGCCAGCGAACTCAGATTTGGTGCTATCTGCCGTCGTCGTCACCCACCGAGCCTGCAGCTTAGGCTCTGATGAACAGGACTGCTTCCATCTGCGTGGTGTTCGGTGGCAGGCGGCGTCGCTTTTCAGTGTACCATGCGCCACCTCGAGAGCCGGGAAAGCTCTCCTGTTTGACCGTGACTCACTTTCCCAGCAGCGTCCCACCCTGCGTTCTTGTCGTCAGGTGCGGATCGTATATCGAAATGGGCGAACACCACCTGCCGCTCCGCAGTCCCTCTTTTCAGCGGGCGAATGATGTCGTCTGCGGCCAGAAGTTGCAGTCACCGACTTCTGCCTCGATGCCGCTGCCGGCTTCTCCTCCGTCCCCTTCCCAGCTTCCGAACGTTCCACACAAAGTCTCACGCGAACTTATTATTGTTGATGATAAACATCATAATGTGGACCCCAGTAGCCGGGTCGAATCGTAAGGCAGGTAATTGAGTGGGTGGTCTTAGTTACCTTTTTGGTAATTAATCAGAAAGGAAGGGGTGATAACTAGCAGCACCTGCATTTGACTCATCTCGAGGAGGAACCGGGAGTCGGACTCCTCCTGTTTCCTCTGACTCCGGACGTGCCCGCGGCCGCCCCGACCTCCTCAGAGCCCCAACCCCTTCTTCTTCTTCCTCCTCCTTATTTCCATCTATTCTTCTTTGGGGAGCTCGCGACGGACGGGATCGGGCGACCGAAACACACCGTGTTGGGTCGGGGCCAGATCGATCGAGGCGCGGGGGGTGGAATCGTCCGAGTCGAGGAGGTGGGCAGGGGATGACGTCGGGGACGAGGATGCCGACGTGGAGGGAGAGGGAGAACAACCGGCGGAGGGAGCGGCGGCGGCGGGCGGTCGCGGCCAAGATCTACACGGGCCTGCGGATGTACGGCAACTACAAGCTTCCCAAACACTGCGACAACAACGAGGTTCTCAAGGCCCTATGCGACGAGGCCGGATGGTCCGTCGAGCCCGACGGCACCACGTATCGCAAGGTCACCATCCCTCTCCCCAATTTTCCCTCTCTTTTTTCCCCCTATGTTATAAATACCAAAATAATCGAAAGCCGGCGCACGCGCCGCTGCGTCGGTGAAGGTCTGGTCGGGATTGGCTTCCACCGGCGCAGGTTAGCGAAGATCGTCCGATCTGCGCGCCTCATGCAGCTCATTGTCTCATGTGACCTGGGGCTCGGTCTGGATCACATGGGCTTCCTTTTCTTGAATTCTTTCTTCACAAACGAATGAAGGTTTTAATTTCTAGGGATCTAATACCTACTCGGCTACCCAGAAGAAAAGTTTGCATCTTTGTATGTTCCTTTACCACCGGTAAAAACATAGTCTGATTTCATCCTTTTGAGACAGCTTATGCGAATGGATTTTTGCTTCGAGGAACATATGTATGCTGTGTCATCGTGTATTGAACTCAAGTTCAGTAGCATCGAAATGATTGGATTGTCCCCCTTTCTGTTCTTCAATCAATATAGCCCTGGTTTTTATTCTTCAAACAAGTCAGTCCTCTTTGGATTCTTCGATCTTGTAAGCTACATGTGATGTGCATTGTATCGAAAGAACCTCTGCGGAGCACTTCCAAAGACATTTCCTTGCTAGGTTTGTACTTGATCTATGTGACAACAAGTTAGCGAAAATTGTACAACTTTGATGAGTTAATTAGTGGTTAGCACTTCTTAGATTGATATTATCTATAAGTTGCAACAATTCACAGTCGAAACAAGTCAAAAGCTTTTGGCGAGCATTTTAGAGCAATGCAGTCGCTCTAAAGTATTTAAAGGATAATCTATGTTCCTCTTTATTTTTCCTTTGATTTCCCTCTTGTCTCCAAGGTTGAAAGTCATTGGTTTCCTATGATATTTCACAGTCAACACAGAACAATTAAAACCAATGGAAGAAGCCAAAGTGTTTCAGTGCCAGAAAAGGATGGAAGAAGCTCACCAGTTTTGTCTTCAGCACATAAACAGCTTCTCATCACTCAACTGTCATTTTGTTTTATTTATTTTACATCATATTTTGTCATATATTATTTATTTATTTCAACTCCACGGTATTTATGTCTTGCATTTACTTGTTTATGCCTCTCATTCTGGAAGATTGTGCTTCTGAGTCGTTTTACTGTAGTACTACTATCTGATGTCTGGAAGTTCTAGCTTAGCTTTAGCTCATTGATGAGATCTTTGCAACTGAGAACAAATAAACCTGTGTGAGTTATTGTCCATTAAATCTATCTTGAGTTCTCAAACCATCGATCACGATCCAAGCATTCTATGTAGCATGCAGCTTATTTCATCTTTTGCATCAGCTGTGAATGTCTTTTGACTGCTAATTTGAGTCCTCGAAAGCTGATATATTATTTTCAGGTCTACTCATGGAATTGCTTGATCTCTAACTGTGGGTTGCGCATTTTTTTATTGCAGGGGTGTAAGCCTCCAGCAGAGCATATGGATATAGTAGGCGGTTCAAATTCACACAGCCCATACTCTTCTAACCAGCCAAGCCCATGTACTTCATACAACCCCAGCCCCGCCTCTTCATCCTATGCAAGTCCTGCATCTTCATCCTACATTGTAGCTACAAACAATTCTATCAATGCTGCTGATGCAAACTCCCTCATCCCATGGCTTAAGAATCTTTCATCGGCTTCCACCAGTGACCTAACCAGGTTTCTACACCAACATCCTTTCTCCATGCATGGTGGGTCGATAAGTGCTCCTGTAACTCCACCACTGAGTTCCCCAACTGCTCAGACTCCCCATATCAAGTGTGACTGGGATGGTTCAAATGCTCAACCATCATGGACCAATACAAGCTACACTTTCCTACCGAATTCGACTCCACCGATTCATGGTCATCAAGTCATTCCAGATCCTGCTTGGATTGCTGGACTCCAAATCGAGACCGTGTCTCCTTCATCTCCCACCTTCAGCCTTGTTTCATCAAACCCATTCAGTTTTTCAGGTGGGGGGTCCTCGAGAATGTGGACACCGGGGCAGAGTGGTACCAGCTCCCCCGCCTTACCTGGTATGCCGCACAACGTTGGTATTCAGATGTCCGATGGCATTTCTCAAGAGTTTGCATTTGGTAGCAGCGCCACTGATGATAACCCAATAGCGACATTAGTGAAGCCTTGGGAGGGGGAGAGAATCCATGAGGAATGTGGATCAGATGACCTGGAGCTTACTCTTGGAAGCTCAAGGACCAGAGCTGATTCCTGATTGATCTGAAGAGACTTCATACTCTGGAAACACTATATAAGCTCATGTTATTATCCATTCTCTGATGTTTCCACAGAGAGAGAGAGAGAGACACAGGAGACCATCTAATGGTTTCGACCAAACAGCCTCCATCCCTCTTTCAGGTAGTTGACATTTTTTCTTTTTTATCTTTAAGTTGGAAGTATTTAAATGCCACTATGGTGGATGCCAATTGACAAAATTGCTACTGCCCAATGTGCTCTCCCACTGTGTAATCAATCTTCATTCAAGCTATCAAGTAACATTCTGGTTAAGTTACTCTGCTTCCTTTGTACTAATGCATATTTCCTTTGTGTTCTGGTTTCTCTCTCTATAGTGTTTACAACTATGTCATTAAAATAAGATGACTCATAATTAAAATAATGCTTTACTACTTGGTATACTCCTCATGCTACACTGTGGATCTACATTAACCTCATTAACCTAATATTGATGTCATATTTGTCCTAATATTTCTAAATCGTTTCCATATCGATGTTCCTTATAAGAAGGAAAAAATGTTTAATAGTAAAAGAAATATATATTTTATTTAAAGAATTCGGAACGATAAGAGTAACTCAGGCTTCTCATACGGCCCACTAAGCTACGGCCCACTTCAGCTGGCCACGTTGCCGACATGCTCCCTATATAAACGGCGTCGTCCACCACTCCGTGGTTCGATCCCTCGATCTCTCAAGAAGAGGGGAATCCCTGGCGAGGATTTGAGGTGAGTTTGTGACTCTACTCCCTTTCCACCACTCGATCGATTTCGATCCTCCGTTTCTAATTTGACTGCTTAATTAGAGCTTCAGGTTCTGTAATTAGGTTTCGTTTAATTTTTTTCCCCCATCGTGGATTTTGGTCTCCCGCGAGTTGTTTTTATGATTCTGGCCTATTTCTCAGTGAGTTAAGAGTAGATTCTCCTTTTCCATCGCTTAATTATATTAGATCCTTCGTTTCGTATTCTATTCCTGTGTTAATTTCTGAGCTTCGGCCTCTAAATTGACAGCAGAGTTAGGGTTTCAGGTTCTGTGATTAGGGTTTTCGTGAGTTGTTTTTATGATTCTTGCTCATTTCATAGTGAGTTAAGATTCTCCTTGTCCGTCGCTTAATTATATTAGATTCTTTCCTTTCCTTTCCGTTCCTATTAGGATCTTTGTCCTTGCGATCCGCATGCACGGTGCTGATGGTTTCGAGGTTTTTTAGTGCCCAGGGTTTCGGACTTTGGTTCCGATGTTGCGAACGATTACTTTCTTGGGAATTATTTATGCTCCTTTTCTTGCAGTTAGTGAAGTAAGATGGGGAAGAGGAAGTCGAGAGCAAAGCCGCCTCCTAAGAAGCGAATGGACAAGCTCGATACTGTCTTCTGCTGCCCATTCTGCAATCACGGCAGTAGCGTCGAGTGTCACATGTAAGTATGTTGCGATATTGCATTCAATGCATTCCTTCACTAAGCTTTGCTCCTACCCTTCTTTATAAGGTTGCTTGTTTTGATGTATGCAATTGCACAATAGTGAAAAAAGGAACTGCAAATGGTAGGATCGTTCTCCCTCATAGTTTTTGAGGCAGAATGTAGATTAGAATCTTTCGATCGACCTTTTTGTGCAGTGACATGAAGAACTTGATCGGTGAAGCCTCATGCAGGATTTGTCTGGAAAGCTTCAGCACTACTGTCACTGGTATGATTTATTATTATGATTATTATTATTATACATTATACAGAGTCACAGACTATATGATGATGTATGCTTATTATTATTATCAGACAAGAAAATTGTGGTTCTGGTCAAGCATTAGGAAAACTTTCCCATGAAAACTCAAGCAGTGGATAGTTATTTTGATGTGCGGTTTCATTTTTAAGTGCTTGTTTTTTTGCTGATGAGACATTTGTCATATAAACCCTTTAAGAACATAGAAAACCAGAACTCAAAAAGAGGCTACTTAAAAAGACAAGTTTTTGAGGTGAACCAATGAACAGATTGTTGGTTCATCCAGAACCTTGAATCTCCAGGTGCATAGCTCGACTCATCCAGTTTTGACCAAACTATGAACCACGGGAAGCAGGTCGATGGGAAATGTTTGTCTTTAGCTTCACAAAGATGTTTAGGTTTGCCCAGAATTTTCCTACTGCAACGCAGAGATGTTGGTCCAATATATGGGGAAGAAAAAGGCATTTTGCAGTGCTGTGTAGTGTGTTCTTTTATCTTTGAACGTTCATCCATCTGACCCCTCTATCTTTTATCTTTATTTATTTATTTATTTATTGACTGTGCAGCACTGACCGAGCCTATCGACATGTAAGTTGATGTCTATCGTGTACTGGTCCATGTGGATGACGATATTTCCAACCATCACGATGACAAGGATGATGATGGTTTTGACTTTTGCAGATACAGCGAATGGATTGACGAATGCGAAAGGGTCAACAATCCGGAAGACGATGGTGCTTGATCATCGTGGCTTGTGGATGTATATATGATGATATATACGCTGGTGTGTTGTACAATATGTCATCTCCCTGGGTTGTGTGCCTGATGATATCTGGGGGGGACTTGCCTACGGATTATATATATATATATATATATATATATATATATATATATATATATATATATATATTGAATAGAATAGCTTAATGTACAAAATCTGAGTATAATTTCACTTCTTCAATAAAAAAAAAAGAGTGCAACAACCTGGCACTCCACAACCTGAAGCAAACAACGCCCAAACTATCTGAAAAGATGCAATCGCAGCTTTCATAAGCATCACGCATACCGACTCCTTGCAAAAACAAATGTTATAAGAACAAGAACCCATGACTGGAACACGCAATCAGATCACCAAACCTATGAGAACTGAAGAATCGAATTACTTTGCCCAAGATTGGGGCTCTTGCTCACAATTACAAGAAACGCAATGTTCAGAAATCAAACGAAGACCCAAACATCCACAGCATAACGAGTGGCGCAGGAACATTAGGGGATTAAGGCGATCGATAGCGGAAAGAAGAGAGAGAGTTCGAACCTTTGGGGGGCTCGGACGTGCTTCAACGGGAGGAGCCAATCGAGCAAAGTCGCAGAACAGGAGACGAGACAAGGGGTTCATTCTTGGGGCAGGTGGGGCTTTAAGGTTCGATGGAACTGTGACGGCGAGAGAGAGAGAAAGAAGAGGGGGAGTAGGTTCGGGTCGAGGGACGTATCACCGACTGATTGCATCAGGCAAATCCGACGGCAGAGGGGGAAACAGCGGCAGTGTCATGCCACCTCACCCTTGAACGGTGAAACGCATCAGCAAACATCGCCAAAGCCCTTCTTTGAGGCGAGGGGCAAAAATACGTATTTGCCCCTCTCTCTTTAAACTATTTCTCTCGCATCATCGATGCATCACGCCAATCCAACGGCAGAGGGAGAAGCAGCTCCATCATCATGCCACCTCACCGTTGATATGTAAAACGGGACTGCAAACACGTCGCAACTGTAATATATCAGTCATGAAGCACGCGTGTAGCAACGTACTGTGTTGCATTAGACGCGAAGGAACTAAAGATGATCGTGCAGTGCCTTTCACTGTTGAGAAGCTGTAGAAAGTTCATACAACCTGCAGTAAGCTGAGAGAGAGAGAGAGAGAGAGAGAGAGAGAATTAACCCTCTTCTGTTGTGATGTACTCGGTGCAGATCGATGTCACCAGCTAAAAACAGCAGTGTTTCATGTGGAATCCTACAGCCATACTCGGAAACATCACTATCTCGACATGGAAGAAATCCTAGCTATTTCGGAGCCACGCTCACATGTTCACGTAAAGATCACTACTCTCTTTGCCATGCTTTGGGTTAACAGGATGATGTTCCATTAATTAAAGCCACATGTTGCTGCAAGTAAAACCTAATAATTCACGGGACCAACCTGCCTTAGTAGTTGATGGTGGAAGTACCGGCAGTACAACTCATCCTACTACCTGAGCCGAGAAGGCCACATAAACAAAAGTATAGGAGCTTCCACTAACTCCCTATAGTCGTCGATAAAGGATTTGCCCATGATCCCTATCTATCCTGACTTTCTAAAGAGAATCGTAAGACTTACTCATCGCTAATACCATGGCTAAAGAAAAGGTCACATCCTCGCATTAATAATCAGTGTCATGGTTCGCCTCCCCCACACCTCCCTTCTGGATAATTGAAGAAGGGACCACTCCCTGCTTGACTCAAAGCAACTAAAAAGACGGACATGGTACGTCGTTTTGATCACCCAGTATCGACGTCAGTCTCGGGACGGCACACCGATAAGCTGCCTCCATTAATGGCCCATGATAAGCTGGGTAGGAGGGACCCACACCAATCCTCATCCTTGCTGCCAAGCGCCCAAGTATAAAAACAAAGCCCCAAGCCAAACAAAGGCAAGCGAGTGAACACCACACTCTCCTGAATACTACTAACTTTCTCCTTCCCAATCCCCTTGACTTCAGCATCAAATGGGTCACGTCGGGATATCTCCTGACGTTGACCTATCATGTAAGATCCCCGATGCGGTTGAGGAGGCACTGCGAGATGACTCCTCCACTGGTAAGGTGGTCCGTTCTACCAGACCAGTTCACTCTTTCCACAAGCAGGAAGCCCCAAGTCAAATAAGGGCAAGTGGAATCCCCAACATAGCTAAGGAGGTACTGCGAGACGACTCTCCCACAGGCACAACGGTCCATCCTCGCTCCCTCCATAAGCGGGAAATCTGGGTCAAACAGGGGCAAGCGGGATCCCTAACATGGCTGAGGAGGCACTGTGAGACGACTCCATCATGGGTAAGGCGATCCATCCTCCCAGATCATTTCACTACCTCCATAAGCAGAAAGCTCTTCACACTAGCTTTCTATGCTAGTTTTTAATGCTAACTCTCTATGCTTGTGCCTCGTGCCAGCTCTCCATAATAATTCTCCACCTCAGCTCTTCAGGAAAGACTTACACTTTCAACATTGAACAAGTCAAGCTAATTAGATATGATAATCTAATTATATGATCCTATCTAATTATGAAAAGATTTCTTAGGAGATGATATTGATAAGAGAACCTCCTGGAGAAGAACTAACTCAGCAGATTATTAAGAATATAGATATTCTTAATATCTCTTAGTCCGTATTCCATCGCTTCTAATAGTGCTGTGACAAATATAAAAGAGAGGAGATGGTGCGTCTAATTCTCCATGCAGATCAACATTACTATCACTATTGGATCTGACGATGGTACACCTACAAATTAGATAAAGACTTTCTGAATGATATCAAGAGGTACACATCATAAATTTGATATATCGTTATTTGATTTTAATTTTTAGCATTAAAGCTTTTTATATAATAGTAGCATTAAAGTTGAGATCAAAACTATGTTTTCCAAATCAAATACCTTAGATCCTATTTATTAGCACCCTTTGCTTGCAAAAAAATATTATTTGGTTTTGATTATTATGCTTAAATTATTCATGTATATTATTGCTATATTTTTTTAGTCCATCATATTGCTTACTTGCAGGTAATTTAAGGTTTATTGTATTTGATCAATGGATCATCATTGACAACTTACTATCCATGTTAGTATTGTTGAATGTGACAACCTTCGAATGTTACCAACTTAGTCATGGGTAGTGACTACATACATAGCGAAAGCACCGCGAGATGCAACAACCTTACGATGGCTATGGTGGCTATGTAGTATCGTTGAATGCAGTGATTACAATTACATCGCATACCTGATGCAACGATCGCGAAAAGGGAAAGAATTTGGGTTTTGATTTTAAAATTATGATTTTACCTTTATAAATCTTTTTATTGTTCTGCCCTTAAGAAACTATATAATTTTATTATATCCTAACAAAATTATAGTTTTACCCCTTCCAAATTAAGATTTTTTAACTTATGTCGTCAATTATAAAATTAATCAATATGATTTATTTTTTAATTACATTTTTTATTAGACCTTATCATAATTGTTTGATTAGATTTAGAGTATATTAAATAAGTTTTGATAAATTTAGGAAAAATCAAACTTTGATTATTATTTTTATTTTTTTGACTTATTTAATTGGGCTAATTTAGCTTAATTTTAAACATGTCTAATTAAATAGGATTGACCGATCTAATTTAGGGCTTCATGCATAATTAAAAAATAAATTATGGTCTTCTTTTATAATTTTCTCACATGACTTATTTTTACATATGATAATTAAACTTCAATTATTATTTTTGAGGGATTTGTTTAGTTATTCATATGTTATATTTATTTTTCATAAAGACATTATTTATATTTTATCATGATTATAATTATCATATGAGTTCTTATTATGTTGATTAATATTTAATAATTGTTATAGTTATTATTTTATTATTATTAAACTATTTTGATGTAAATTAGATTAAAGGATACTTAATAAATATTATTTGTAACTTATGTCACCAAGTTTTATCTGATTGACAATTGTTCAAGTGACTGAGGATAATAGATATATGGGATATAAATTATAATAAATATTTTATCAAGTATTAGTCCTAAATGATATCAATAAAATAATTTCATAATTACATACATAATTATGAGATTTAGATAATATTAAGAGAGAATCTACATAAATAAAAGAACTGGCTACACTTAATATGATGATACTCGAGGGATCTAAGATAATATCCTCAATATGACTTGATAATACTACAAAACTTAAAGCATGTCTTACCAAGTGTACTAGCAGAATGATATTACTAAAATATAAAATGATACTCTTATGGATATAATTAGGAATATGATGAGCTATTCTTTTATACCTAAGTGGGGGAAGTTCTTAAGATAATTATGTATATCTTAAATGGGTTCCTCGTAAGTTGATTCTAACAATCCATTTGAGTTATGGACCGATATATTTCCTAAATAGAGATATATACATATTTAGAGTTATCTTACGTAGATGAGAATTTTTAATCCACATGGAAAAATATAGGATCAAATAACTATATTTTAAAAAATTATTTATTATCTAGAAAAATCTAGAGGATATAGATTTTATTGACTTGATCACAATATGAATATAGTAATATCTGGTAATATAAAATTCTTAGAAACTAACAAAATTAGTTGAAGTAAAAAATATCAAAAGATCAATTTGGATATCGAAGAGATACAAATCGATATTTTTTTATCATTTTCTATTCGAGATATTAGTATTACTCAAATCACTAAGAGAATTGATGATGGTAAATAACAAAATAATATTGATGAACTCTCATATGATATTGATGTCGTCTCTTGGTGGACAATCACAACCGACAGTTTTGAGAAGATATCAAAGAGAAAAAAGATATGTCATTTCTAATAATTATATGATATATTTATAAGAATAAAATTATGACATAAGAATAAAAAGAGACCGATTATCATTTTCAGTTATAAAAAATAACGATTCTAAAAAGTGATATGTTGCGATGAAAAAAGAATGAAATCGATGAATCAAAATGAAACTTATTGAATTACCCAATAATGATATCAAATGACATGAAACTAGACTTGTGGTCAAAGATTTTTCTCATAAAGAATATATCAACTATAGTAAGATATTTTTTTTAGTTTCTAAAAAGAATTCGTTGAAAATTATTATGATATTAATAATTTATTATGATCTTGAGTTATATTAGATGAATATAAAAATAATATTTATAAATAAAGATCTAGATGAGAAAATCTATATGAATAAAAATTATGTGTGGATCAATTTTTTTTTAAAGTTTGATTTTCTGAGAATGTCTCTTATTCAATTTATTGATCCACAAAGCATGAACCGGTAACTATATCAAGCCAATTAGCTTCTAATTAAGTTTCAATTAGCTTAAGCCAATTAGCTTCTAATTAAGTTTTACCACTAGTCTCTCTCGTGTCTACTTTTTCTTTTCTTTTTTAAGTAGAAACAAACAAAAATCAAATCGACTAAATCGCTGTTACGTGAGAATCATTTGGATTTATGCTTTGAGATAGATAGGATGACTTTTTTGTGAAGGAATAAAAGCATCACACTGTTCATATTTATTACCGTACATTTCCAACCTATCAGAAAAACAAGCAAAAACAAATAAAATTAATCCAACAATTCATCTTTATGCCTTTTGTTAGCCATTCTCTCGTTTTCTCCATCAACACACCCCTTCAGGTTTATTCGCAACGCATGTTGGTTCTGCGAACCCATCGACTTACAGGATAACATTACTCACCAGCAATCACTCGGGTCAAATTGGTTCTCGCCAGGCGTCCCGATTCCTCGGGCACGAGGACCCATCAACAGTGCCCCATGTCTTATCCCACTCCAACAGTTCTACTTGGACGCCGAATATTTCAGCCATTAATTCCAGCTTCAGTTCTCTCATGGACTGCAGTGGCAAGAGGGCATCGAGAAGACGCCATTCTTGCAACATCTCATTTGGTAATATGCTGATCATATATAGAACTCACATGTACCAAAGGAAAACTGCACAGCTTTATTTGCGTGCTAATGCCAACAGAAAGAAACAAGGAAAGAGGCAAAAAGCAAGGGAAGAAGATAAGATAGATAGATACATTTGAACTCCATGATTATGAAGACAAACCGAGAGCTAAAACCCTGTGTCCAGATGGAATGAGAAGGGATAAGCTGCTGATCCAACACCAACATCCACCTCCATCCCTCCATACTCACTCCCCGCCCACGCCGGACCGCCGTACAACCCCACGGAGTCGATGGTCCCCAGGAACTCCTCCTCGTCCCCCTCCGCCATGGCCTGTCCATCGAAGGAACAACCACCGCTGCCGCCTTCCATCTCCAGCATCCTCTCGTCGGCCCCCGATCGAAGCCGGGCCCGCTTCTCCCCTGCCTCGATCGCGTCCGTGGCTGCCGCCGGCCCCCCGAGGCGGTGGATCAGCTTGGGGTCCCCGGCCACCTTGACCAGGAAGGCCAGCATCTGCCTCGGCCTGCGCTCCGTCTCCTGCACCCTCCTCCACATCCCCTGCACCGTTTCATCTATCCTCCGCTGCTCCTGTTTCAGCCTCACTACCTCCGCCACCACCCTCTCCTCTTCCTCCTCGTTCTCCTCCTCCTCTCCCCCTTCCTTCTTCTTCTTCCCGCAGCCGCTGTTCCTCCGCACTATCTGCTTCAGCAGATGCATCTGTCCTCTCAGGAACGACGCGTGCGCGAACTCCCACCGATCCGGATCGACCTTCCGAAACCCCTGCGTTCAACAACATACAGACCGAGTGAGTTCATGCAACGCGATGCTTCTCGTCATGGAATATATGCCGCGCGTGAGATCGTCCTCACATAAGTGTTGAGCTGGCGAACGAAGCTGGAGAAGTTGCTGTGCTTGAAGTGGGAGGGAAGGAGGGACTGCGAGAAAGCAAAGGGGTCGATGACGACGAAGCTGTTGTTGTCGCAGCCCCAGGCGATGACGGCGTCGGTGGAGGGGTCGTCCACCATGCGGTACGTCTTCAGCACGAAGGGGGCGGCCACCGGTCCTCCTCCCCCTCCTCCATGGCGGTAGCGTTGGTGGTGAACCGTGCTGCGGCTGCCGTCTTCCATGTCGATGCTAAAGACAACGGGGAACGGACTGCACGGAGTTGATACCGCGGATGATTTGCCAAACACGGGAAGAGTAGGTAAAGAAGAGGAGGTGGTCTTGTAGTGGCGTTGCGGCCGGGGGGGGTCAAAAGCTAGGCGACAGACACCGGTACGTCATCGGCCGCGTGTCCCTCCGTCCCGACTCTTCCATGACCCCGTCCAAGAAAAAGGAGACGGAGGAAGAGCAAATGACAAAAAGACAGTGAAAACACTTGACCTTTTTTTGCATCTCCTCCCCAACGAGTGAGGTCAAAACAGGGAGTGTGATCCCCTAAGTCGAAATATTTTGCCCCCTCGTTCATCTCTTTACCATATCTTTGCTTTTTTCTGACAATGGTCCGGCCGATGCCCTTGTGAGCCAAAAGATGGCACAGTAGGTGGTGAACGCCGATTGCTCCACGTCCATGGCAGGGACAGAGCACACCGCGACCCACCACCGCTCTACGCTGCGAGCATCTTCCCGTACCTAAACCGCTACAAATCGGGAGGCAGAGGTTTCAGCTTCCAATGGCTTCAGCCGCCTTACAAGTGGACTTCAATCTCCGTGGTGCCTAAATGAATCGCCGTTTGCAGCGGTCGACGCCCGAGTGGAAGTGTTTCTTTCACGTGGTGGTGTAGCCAAACACACGCTCCCATCATGTCCCCTTTGTTGGGATCTTACATGGATTCGGGTTGTCGCTTTGTTGACCGCCAGCAGTCGGTCGGGTGCGACGGTCGCTCTCCGGGCCTCCAGAAGTCGACCGGCACATGCACGCACCGCGTGGCTTGCGGTGAGGGGCGCGACCACGTGGAGCGACTCATGCATTTATTACTGTCCTTATTATTATTATTACATTTTACGATATATCTTAATAATCTT